TCTGCTGGCAGTCAATGAGTCTGGTGAGGCCTGCTGCTCAAGGCAGTCATGTTTATTAGTTTTGCTATGTATCTGCCCAATTTTAAAGTAATGAAACATTTTATTCTTAATGCTACTAATACCTCAGAATGAGTTATTGAGACTGTAAGGGCCAGTTGATGAGAAAAGGGATTGAACTAAATTGGGAAACTTGAAGCTCTTCTGCTCTGGGAATCCCTGCACGTCTGCTGCATAGCTAGAGGAATTTAAAATTCCAAACTCTGCAACACCTATGGAGTAAGGAATAGTCCTTACGTTTTTCATATTAGCTTCACCTTCCCGCCCTAGAAAGAATGACTACAATGAAACAGCCAGAGTAGGGAGATCACTCTTTGTAGCACAACTGATTTACCACAATCCACAGGAAGGAAGTTCTGTTGAAGCCCAGGGTCAGGGCTGGCCTTCCCATTAGACAAGAAGAAAAAGTCACTTCAAGTTTCAGATGCCAGGACGCATCAATGTCAGAGTTTGGATCTGAGTACTGAGCAGTCTACCCTATGCCACCTAGCTAGCTTGCTACCTTCAGGTGCAGTAGATAATGCTACCCTTCATTGGTGTTGAAAAGAGCCACCCATCCGCCCATTTAGATGTTACATATGCCTGAGAGTTGAAGACATCCTGTTCTTCATTTCAGGCAGCTGAATGTCTTGGGCTAACTCTGCTCAGGATAAGAAATGGAACTCATTAGCAGCAGGAACTGGTTTACATAAATCAAGCACTGCTGAAAAAAATTAAGCAAAAAGCACAACAAATCCACATTAACTCTATTTAATAAACTACGTTTTCTAGCTCATGCCTGACTCCATTCAGAGAGAACTCAAATCTCAGGAATAGCTGCAGCTTGGAAAGATACACAACTTTACAGCTCTCAAGAGGTTTGCAATCAAACTCTTATCCTTACTCTCATTAAAATAGGGCTGCATGTATTTTATGCCTCCTTGAAAGCTCTATACTATACAATTGAAGATTGGCATAGAAATCTAGCATCTTGATACTCTATTTTTGTTTTTAAAATATGGCTCCTTAAAGAGTAATGAAAAATAAAAACAAGTTTAATTTAGCAAACATTTTCATGAACTTCAGCCCATTTCATCAGGTTTACAAACTATTACCTCAATAGGCATATGTTTATACATGCACTCAGATGAGAAGGGAACATATGTAGAAAAAAAGAAACATGTAAGAGACAAATACTGATAATTATTCTAACAGTGGTTGTTTAACATATAATCATTGGGGTGCAATAGGGACATTTTACCACAAATAAGCAGATTCAGACCAGTATCGTTTTGTTGTTGTTTGTTTAAACTAACAAGCCACTAGAACGGATGTCATCAAAGATATGCTCAAAACTGGTTGGTTAATGGGTTGTGAGCAGAGATGGGGATATTCGTATTCGTAAATGAATATGAATATCCCCATCCTAGCTGGACCTAATGAGGTTCCAGCCCCCAGGGCTATATCATCCACTCATGCGTCCTGATGCCACGAAAGTCCCACTCTTCCCGCCAATGGTGCCCGGAACTCCGCTGCCTTCCTGCTTGGCTGGTCATTCAGCAGCTGAGCGGGGAGATTCATCCTCCTGTCTCTTGCCTGGAGTGGCCAGCCAAGCAGGAAGAGAGTGGAGCCCCAGGTGCCATTGGTGGGAAGAGTGGGACCTTTATGGCATTAGGGCACTTGAGTGGATGGCTCAGACCCAGGGGCTGGACCCTCATTAGGTCCAGATAGGGTGGGGATATTCGTGTTTGTTTACAAATACAAATATCCACATCTCCAACTGTGAGATCTCAGACAAATTAGAGAGACATTGCTGGGGTTTCAGGAATCAGGAGATGTGACTTTAAGCTGCTACTCTTTCTGACACACTCATAAGTTTGCAAAGGTGCAATAAGCACATAATAAAAACATGCAAGTTTTAAAAAAAATTAATTTCAAAAGATCACAGTGCTAAACAGCAACCTTAAGACTGTTTGTAAAACCTATTATAAATTCAAAGCTACATATTACAACACAGACACATGTTATTTTAATGTGGTGTGAAATGTTGGCCAAGGTAAAAGCAAAAAGAGCTTGCCAGGGGTGACCTGTTTTATGGACTCAAATCTGATGGAAGGTAAGATGACACTTGCTGCATTTTTTTTTTGTTATAGACTTTCTGTAATGAAGATAATAGAAATTTGTCCATTACATTTCTGTAACTAGCATAAAGTACAAAGGGACTGACAAAACATGGAAGGCAATAAATCAAGGATCAAAGAAGCAATAATGCTTGGAGTCTGTGAGGCTTATACTACTTCCCTCTATCTGGCATGTGTCATCACCAAATGACACCAACCCTCAAACCCCTTAGCTAAGCTTAAGGTTACTGTTTAACACTATGCAAACACTTGGTTTTTCCACTGCTATTTAAACACTGTTGCTACTAAGGGGTGAATTCACACCAACCTCTTAAACAGAATACAAACACCTTTGGTGCAAGAGCCTATGTTATGTCGGTGATACAGCCTTGACTATGTGTCCCAGTGTTGGCCAATGGTACATGTGGTATAGTTCTTGTGGCAGCTAATGGTCAAAAATAATAATTTAAGAATTTAGAAAAGGAAAATATTTTGTAAAAACAAAAACGAAAATAAATTAAAAAGCTTTAATATTCTAAGCTATTAAGTTTGTATAGTTGAAAGGTTTTTTTATATACGTACATAAATGGAAGCTTGGTTTTCCTAAGTCCTATTTCCATAGCTTCTTCAAAAACAACAAAACCTAGATCTTTCTGATCACAACTCTTAACTACCTATCTCACAGCTTCATTCTTAGACTGATTTCACTCTAACCCAACATAACTCTCAAAACTGACTGCTTCTAACAAAATCAGCAAAAAAACTCTTCACCCCCCACAGGCACATATATAACAGCATCTCAATAATCATATAGCATATCAGCCAATTAGAACACAATTCCATTCCTCCAAAACTAGTTTTAACAAATTCCCCTGACACACATCAAACTAACCACTACCCATCAAAAATGAGTCACTCACCAGGCAGATCAATACATACCTATATAAACTATACTATCCTATGCTACACTATACTATAATATACTAAACTATACTATACCATACAATTTTGTAATTCTCCTTACAAAAGGTAATTCAAGGGAGCAGTATCCTCCTGGCTAGGAACTCTAGCATACAACTATGAGATGAAAAATATGCTGGAAAGACAATCCATGGGCTTACTATGAGAACCCATCCATATACATGCATGCTTCCAAAATTATATTTAAAATTTGCAACTTTTAATAAAAGCTGTCATTCCAAGGCCTTCAAAAGAAATCACTTTGGCATCACAGTTAATTTTTAAAAGCCACTCTTTGCTTTCTTGTTATTAAGAACTTGCTCAGTTCCTTTTAACAACTTTTTGAAAATGTCAGAATGTTATAAATTGGTGTCCTAACACACCTAAGTAGAGACCACGCAACAGAATAGTCACTAAAAATTTAGTTACAGTACACAAAACAAATCCATGCAGCATCCCTTCCTGTTGAGTACGTGAAGGTGACTGAGAGCAACAATGTACTGCAGACAACGCCAAAGAACATTTCTGATCCAACTCTACGCACCTAGAAATGCCCACAGGCAGACAGAGTTTGGGACACAAAGCAGTCTTTTCTTATAAAACATTGTATCTGTGATTGGGGAACAGGCAGGAAGCAAATAATGGAGCTAAAAAGCTTAATCCACTTTAAGCGCCAATTGCATTTGTCAATCCTGCATAGCAAGAATGCCACCTTCTGGTTCTCAACAGATTCTGCTTGAAAATGTTATGTGTAGATATGGACAACAAAAACAACTAGAACTTTTAAAGGCAGCAATTCATTTCCTTCACTTTGAAGGAAATTCAACCCAGTTCTGCACTTATTATGAGTGTCTATAGGGGAAACTTACATGACTCGTGAATATCTAAATGGTGTTTAGGCATATCAGTCAGTTTAATTTGATCTGCCGAAGCATGGGGCATATTGGAGCATTGATAGCTAGGAAGCAGTGTCCATGTGTGCATGTTCATAGCTATTTAAAGCAAGAACTGCTTCACACATCCAACTTGAGAGGAAGCAAAATACCCATACTGCTGCTACTAAGTAGGTTCAGGGACCCCACACATAGATGATCCAAAGCAGCTGCTGACAAGTGGTGTAGATGGCTTAGGCTCTCAAATCAGGAAAAATACAGTAGACCATGCCTCTCTGGAATGCATATTATTATTTTATCAAGATAGTTTAAACACTACATTCACATTACATGGACATTTTCCCCAGTAAAACATTCCAAGAAAGACAACTTTCACATATGAATTTTTAGGAACAAAACTTTCTTCATCAAGCATCTAGATTACAATGATCATCAACCGCAGCCAGCTGGGAAGATGGGAGTTGTAATTCAACGTGTATAGGGTATTGGGGAAGGTTGTTGTACATTGCAGGATGGAATATGCTGAAGAGGTGCTGCCACCTTCCTGCATTGTCTTGTTAAGATGAGCAGGTCTTGGCTGACATTGCCTCTGTCATTTTCAAACTGGTTCTAAAGCAGGAAAAGAAGGAAACACCTTAACCTGGTGACAAACCTTTGGCCCTTCAGATGTTTTGGACTTAATCTCCCAGAATGCCTGACAATAGGTTAGACTGTCTTTGGCTCCTGCAAACTGAAGTCTAAAACAGGAAGGACCAGAGTTTAAGGACCACTGTCTTAAACTGACTACTGGATTGTACTGCCTTATCTCTTATCAGCATCTGCCTACTAGAAAATGTTTCCACACATTTTCAGAAGGGAAGAGTTAAGAAACCATTTCTCCAATGCATTTTGCTCCCTTCTCCCCATCCAATACAAAGTTGCTCTACAACAGTGGTTCCCAACCTTGAGTTCCCAGATGTTCTTGGACTACAACTCCCAGAAATACTGGCCAGAAAAGTTGCTGGTGAAGGCTTCTGGGAGTTTTAGTCCAAGAACTTCTGGGGACCCAAGGGAACCAGTGCTCTACAATATCAGAATTGGAACTATGTTCTTCATCACTATGTACTTGGGATTTTCATCACACAAACCCATCCTACTATCAAAGTACACTTGAACAGTTTGATTTCCATTACTGAGGTTTTAATCTTTTGCTTGCAGCACACATTTGCATTGAGAAGGCCTTGCAGCTATACGACTTAGGAGCTATGTGATATGCATTTTGCAGTTGAATTTCTGAAGCAAGCAGCCTATCATGAAAACACAATGCATACCTGGACCCAGATCCCATTTACAGCCCTAAAGACTGTGAATAAATGCCCATTTCAAAGTGAGTGAAAAAAAGAGAAGCACTTTAGAAACACAGTTTTTCCTACCACCACCAGAGGTCTACTGGCATATTCACTAAAAAAAATGACATTTTGTGCTGGGCAAACCAGTGGAAAGGCAGTACTTCATCTCCAGTACCCTCCCTCATCCTTCTCTATGCCTCTGGGGCCTGAGGCTTTGCAGGACTGGTGTCCAATTCTGGAAAGCAAGGAAAGAAATTTAACAAAACAGACCAAAAGAAGAAGAAGTAAAATCAGTTGTAAAGGTTCTGTGAATCACTGATAAGTTGACAGGCACTTCCAGGAACGGACTGAATATAGCCTTGATTAGACTAGGCATCTACTAGTGTCAGTCCATCATGTAGGGCACGCTTCCACATATAGTAAGTGGAGCGAGCTGTGAGGGGAAAGCGGGCTCTGAATTCTTTGTATGTTGGAAAGGTCTTTGACTCAAAGCGTTGTTGCAGAAACAGCTTGGCCTGGGCCTTGAATTGAGCGGTAGCAATCACATCCATCACAAACATGTTGTTACTGTTGTTGTTGTTATTGTTGACTCTTTCTGCCATTTGATAGCCTGGGATCATGGAGGCGTATGGTTGGGATGTTTGTTTCACTACAGGCACGGGAGCAGACATCTTCTGCTGTGTTGAATGGAACTCAAGTGCTGCCTTCCCACTAGTTTCCATGGCAGCCTGCTGCAAGTTCTGGGACACCTCCTTTGAGGGAAGAGGATGCCTTTCTGTCTGGTTGCTTCTTCTTTTCCTCCAGAACCAATAGACTGAGGAAGAGACACCTGGATAACGCAGACGGAACTTGCAGAACGGCATTTTCCATTGGCTGACACGTTTCTTGGCTAAATCACGAAGTTGCTTCTGCCAGTGGTACAGGGATGGCTTGAGCTGCGCAAGAACTTGAGGTCCCGGATGGTGGCCATTGAACAACTTCTTGTTAGGAAAACCTCCTGGCTTTAATGACAGATATGGCTTCCTGTTCATAAGAGGGCTCTGGCTGACAGGAAAAGGCTGGGAAGGCTTGAAGTTGGGGTTTTCTTTCATGGCCTTTCTCCTCCAGTTGTAATAGGTTGATCGGGAAATGCCAGGAAAACTACGCTTGAAGGTTCTGAAAGGTACAAGGGTATTCATGGAAATGCAATTCTCTAGATAAGACTTGGCTCCTTGCATGGAGGTCCCATTTTGGCTGGGATTTAAAAGAGCGCTTTTGGATCCGATGCCCCCATCAGATTTCGCAGTACCACCATCTGTGTCAGCATGAAGCTTCTCTGGTTTGTATGTATGAGAACTGTCCGAAGAAACAGCTTCAGCCGAGGAAGAAACCTCACCATTCAGTGTGCTTTGCATCTCATGCTTCCAGGCATAGTAGGTGGAGCGAGAAATCTCTGGAAACATTTGTCGGAAATGCTGAAGAGGGACAGTGCTGCCCTCCCGGAAGCAGGACTGTAAGAACTGTTTGGCTGCAAACCTGGCAGCTGCTTTCTGCCTGTGCTCTCGGGACTGGCGCTTCCACCGATAGAAAGTACTTTTGGTAATGCTGTACCTTTCACGCAAGTTAGAGTAAGTCACTTGCGGATCCCTGTTTAGGAGCTCCAGGGTCTTCACTGGCTGTGCTGCAGGCTCTGGAGACGGATTTGTGGGTTCTAATTCTTCCAAGCCGACGACAGGCACAAAACACTGAGCTTTGAAAACCTGGGCAGAAATCTGCTGCCCTGACCACATGATATGGAGTGTGGAGACTTGCAAGCTGCACCTTCTGGGTCGGATCAATCGGTTAAAGTATGGCCGGATTTTTAGGTTGCTCATAGGGTAGATGGAATAAATGTTGCACTGCAGCACTGATGCCAGGGCGTACACATGCCACATGTTGGCATAGGTGCCTGGGAAACAGGTGGCTTTGATATCAGCATCAAAAATGGCCTCTAGGACAGCCAAAGGCAAGCTAGTCATCTCAGGAGATTCCTCTGTGCAAAGTGAATAGCGAGCAGCCTGGAGCATCACCTTGGAGTCAATCATGCCGTTCAGGTAGTATTGCTTATGAAGTAACATCTCCACCGCCGTGCGCACCTGCAGCTCCAAGCTTAAGCTGGTGTTCCCCCACAAAAGTATGCTGGCAGCTTCAAAGAGGTGGTTCCCTTCACCTTTGCAAGCCAAAGGCAACATATGGCTAGGAGCATCTTCTGGATAGAGACGTCTTGCTACCCGGTCAACTTCCAGTTCTTCTTGGAACTGCCTCCCACAGTATCTAGGTAGAGAGAAAGAGGATAAAGTCCTCTCAGCTTCTAGAGCTGCACTGGTTAATCCCTCTAGCCCAAAGCATTCAGTAGCCTCCTGCAGCTCCTGGAGGACAGACTGCACCAGTTGGTGCCGCTGGATCATCCTGAAACACAGAACAGCACACACAGTAAGAATGTCACACATTCAGCTCAAGACTTTCCCTACACAGCCCAGCAATAATAATCACCGTTCTTTTAGCAGTTCAGCGCTCTGCCTTTTCTCAGGAGACACTTGCATTTACAAGCAATGGCTGAAATCCTATTGAGTAACTATGCTACTACAGTAGCTGCAAAAATCCACAAAGCCCTTCTGCTGGCACATAGTACAATTGGTCACAATGGGTACTGTGTGTTCGATTACACAATTGAATTGCTCAATCTGTGTTGCCTGGGCATAGGGTCCAGGAAAGTTATGCCTGTGTGCCTTTACACAGCATAGCAATGAACAGGATTCCAGCCACAGGCTACGAGGATCCTAGGTCAACACTTACAACATCTGGGTAAAGGATTATTTTATGTAAGCTCGTCTTTCTACTGATGCCCAACAAGCCAATTCTATGCAAATCTAAATAGAAGTCATACTGAATTGAGGGGAATGTACGGTCAAATAAGCATGAGTAGGACTGCCATCATTTCATTAAAAAGGATGGGATTTCGGCATGTTTAATTGGATACAAGTTTACAGCCCTAGCATATATGTTCCAGAATAACATCTAAGTCTAACCGTATCATAGCTACATTATCCTTCTCGATATGCATACCAATTACTGATACATTAAGAGTTCTGCTTAGTACTCGATCGTAGTATTTAGTTTAACATATCTGATTAGTAGGTCTAACCTATGTCGTTAGCTAAACTTTCACTTTAAGCAAATAGTCTAAAGCCTTCAAATTCTACAAGTTCTAGTAACTCAGCAACTAGATTTGTGTGATTTCCTGAAATGTGCTGAGGTGTGGTTGTAGCTGAAAATGTGAAAGTATGATTTCTGAATAGGGAAGGTGAATTCTGAAATTTACCTGTCATATTCTATTAGTTTAAATTAAGTTTTACAATGCTGCTCAGTTAAACATGCTTCTTAGGCACAGTGACTGATATTTATCGACAATTCAGTCACACACTATTCCATCTATGAGAGGAGGCTGTCTTAAATATGTTCTAAGATAAATGTACTTCTTCTCTTGTCCTGTATTTGGATACATGCCTCGAAGGAAATAGCAGCTTCTTTTTAGAGCACTGGTGTACTTTCATCCTTCCCTCTGGTCCAGCCATATTACAGCAAGCTACCGCTATGCTGACTTCTGGAATTATTAGTCTTATGACACACTTTTAAAATTTGCTGAAAGCCATAGTCTGTTCCATAACTCAGTGAGGTAGTTCATAAGTATTTGCATTTTAAACACCAGGAAATAAAACTAAGAAATACTAACTTCATAATGACTACACATACAGTAGTGCACTTTACAGTGGTGCCTCGCAAGACAAATTTAATTTGTTCTGCGGTTAATGTTGTGAAAAATACATCTTGAGAAACATGTTTTCCCATAGGAATGCGTTAAAATCTAATTAATGCATTCCTATGGGCAAAAAAAGTCAGAACAAAGTCAAATTTGGTTTACAAAGGGTTTATTGCTCTTTAAAGCCATACATACAGTGGGGTCTTGACTTAAGAATGGCTTGAGTTAAGAACATTTTGACTTAAGAACCACTCTCATAGGAAAATATTGACTTGACTTACATACTTAGATTTGAGTTAAGAACTGAAAAAAACCACGTGGGAGGCAGGGAAAGTGCAAAATTTGAACTTTCAGTTAACTGTTGGCCAGTGAAAAGGGTGCCTGTCTGCTTCCTCACTCCTCCCAGCGTTTAGAGAGTGGATTGGGAGACAGTCTTCAGACTGCCTGGTACTGTACTGCCTGGACTGTATTTTCCCTGCCTTCCCTGAACCTTTCTTGACCTAAGAAAAAAAGAAACAAAATATCCCCCTCTAGTGGTCGAAGGC